GATTATTCACTCAAATTGAAGAATCACTTTAACCAATGTAGAAACTGACATTTAGCAACCATGCTTAATACCATTCCACACAAAATTGGCAATGGGTTATGCAAAATTAGAAATTAATCTTCCAAAATTGTTATGTAGGAAATAGGACTTTATAATAATAATAATCCTTGCATTTGATACAGTGCCTTACCACTAGATCACGTCTTTGAGACATCTCAAAGCGCTTCACAGAATATACTGTATATAAGTGAATTGACTGTACATTTATAAAAGAAGATCTCAGCTATAGAGAGGCTTGGGATTACTGAAGCAGAATAAACTTAACCTGACATGGAACCTGAATGCATAATTCAAGATTTATAAGTAATCGATAATGTGCCTAGTTGGAACAGAATTCCCACAACATTAACTTGAAGCAAATAAAGGTGGAAATAAAAGCAGATGATCTTTCCATCTCAGAAATCTTCTCTGTCTTCAACTAGATATAGCTACCACTACCATTTGATGAGTCTTAGTTGATGTCCTCTCATTAGTAAAATTACAATACCTTTCGGAGAAGATTTTCTTGTCCTTAATGTCTGTGTGGGTTTAACATTGAAGGATTGTTTGCAAAACAGAAGCAGTGGAGAAGGATAAGAACAAAACAGTGTGAAGGAGATATGCTAACCTACATAGCAAATTTTACCCCATTGTGTATGGTTCAGTTTATGGTGTGAAATGCAATGCAACTGAAGACAACAGCAGAAACTCGGCAATAAAGCTTTAATGGAAGGTGTTCAGTTGTGTTTGTAGTGAGAGCTTTTAAAAGCTTCTGATTTTATACTTCCCTTAATTGGTGTATAGTATTTACAGAGCAATAGACCTTGAATTCAATCCTGAGGTAATGTAGTGGGTATAGTTCAGTAGGTTTATCCCTTCAGCACTGTTGCATGTGAGAGATGTGTCATGAGAGTATGTGTCAATCTGTCCATGATACCGACTTCCCTGAACTTAATAAATGTTTCCTCTGATTAACTTTTGGATTCCTTTCAAACATTATTGTACTGGGAATTGTTTATGTTTTACTCAGAATGACTTTTTATCTCTGCAATTAAAAAATGCTGTATTGAACTTTCTAGACTTTGTCAGATTTTGCAGTTATTTTATTTGGAACGCTGACATTCAGCGTTTTAAGGCCACTAACAGAAGCCTCTTACTTTATATAATAATTAGGATTCCTGTGATTAGGATTAGAGTGAATCTACAGTTCTTTAGTTAACAGAATTAAAGAGATTAGTCAATAAATTGTTAATTCTATGTGACATTGGATTACTATTTAGTGAAAGTTTATATTATATATGCAGATAATCCAGAAGTCTGCACCCCGTGTCCTCTCCCGCACCAAACTCCGTGACCCCATCTCCCCCATTTTCGTCCGACTCCATTGGCTTCCTATCCTTCAGAGGATCCAGTTCAAGATCCTGGTCTTCACCTACAAAACCCTCCGTGGCCTCACCTCACCCTACCTCTGCGACCTCCGAACCCCATACCAACCCGCCTGCTCCCTCCGCTCAGCCGGCTCCAGCCTGCTCCATGTCCCCCGCCCCACCCACCCCACCATTGGCGGGAGAGCCTTCAGCCACTCTGCCCCCAACCTCTGGAATTCCATCCCACAACCCCTCCGCCTTGCCCCCTCATTAGCCTCCTTCGAGTCCCGCCTCAAAACCCTCCTCTTCGACCATGCCATCAGCCAACCCACTTCCCCCCACTCCCTTCTCCCTCCCTGACCCCAGCTTGGGTCTGAAATGCTGTACACTGTCCAGCGCCTTGGGACGCCTCCCGACGTGAAAGGTGCTATACAAATGTAATCTTGTTGTTGTTGCTTCGGGACTCCACACTGCCTTGGCTGAGGTCAGATAACTCAGTGCCTGTCAGACCTCAGGAGCTGGATGAGCGCAAATTTCCTTCAGCTGAATGTTGACAAGATGGAAGCCATACTCATTGGCTCTTGTCAACGAGTAAAATCCCACAGTTCTCACCTCCTCCACCTACCCAACCTCCCCCTAAAACTCTCCGAACCCGTAAGCAACCTAGGCATCAGGTTCGACCCCCAATTATCCTTCCTCCCCCAGATCTGGTCCCTCACCAGCACCGCTTTCTTCCACCTCCGACGCATCGCCCGTCTCCGCCAATACCTCACTCCAAAGGCCGCTGAAACCCTGGTCCATGCCTTTGTCACCTCTCTGCTGGACTATTCAAACGCCCTCCACACCGGCCTCCCCTCCACTAACATCCATAAAATCCAGATCATTCAAAACTCTGCCGCCCTTATTCTCACCCGCACCAAACTCCACTCCCCGATTATCCCAGTCCTTGCCAGACTGCACTGGCTGCCTGTCCCAAAGAGGATCGACTTCAAGATCCTCACTCTTGTCTTCAAATCCCTCCACTCCTCTGCACCCCCCGACCTCTCTGACCTCCTCTCTCCTCAAAACAGTGCCCGTTGCCTTCGAGTGATTGCAGGTCTGGCCTCCATGTTCCCTGAGTCCTCCGCTCCACCCTCGGCGGCCGTGCCTTCAGCCACTACGCCCCGAGGCTCTGGAACTCCCTTCCTCACTCCCTTGGCCTCGCCCCCTCTCTTCCTATTTTCAGGTCTTGGCTGAAGACCTTTCTTTTCGACCGCACCTTTGATCACCTTCCTCCCTCTCCCCCTAGCTCCGTTACTGTGAAGCGCTCTGAGAAGCCATCCAGCATGGAGGGCGCTATATAAATCCAAGTTGTTGTTGTAGTCATTGCAGTGCAGTCAGGAGGATCAAACCTCGAACCTTTCCTGTATGTATTGCTCAGCTATGTACTGTGTAAACTCACTGAGCTACTGGGACAACATTAATGAGTTTATATGATAAGGTAACATAATCTTTATGGGGACTCAGTCCTGCACTAGATTAGAAAGCCGCCCTTTAGTTTTGGCGTGAATCTGAGAAGACTGAAGAAACAAAAGTATCATTCCATTCTCAGCTGTTCAAGTTCTTGCTGAAACTAGGTTAAAGGGTTTCAACTGTGCTCCTTGTGGCAAAGCCAAAACATAAAACTACCTTCAATTTAGCAGCAGTTAACATTAAATTGGCAATCTCACTTAAACCATTCAAAATGATAACTGGAGGTGCTGGGGAACAAAAACCTTTTTGAGGCTGAGGTCAAATTAAAGGAAGAGAAGTAAGAAGAAAGAAGTGAACGCAGTTCTTTGATATTTATTAAAGATAGATTTTGTAAGTTTTCTTGGTTTTGATTATTATTCTGCATCTTTTCTAATGCATACTCCCTCCATCTAGCACTGTGCTCTACCACCCCATCCAAGAAACAAGCTAAAGTTGCAGTACCTCCAATCTCTCCAACCTGCTCTCTCCCTACACTATTACCCACTGTCTCCGCTCGACTGGCTCCAGCCTCCTCCGGACCCTCCACCCCACCATCGGCGGCCATGCTTTCATTCACTACACTCCAAAGCTGTGGAATTCTCTCCCTCAATCTCTTCTCCTTGCCCCCTCTGACCCCATTTTCAGGTTGCACTTGAACACGTTCCTCTTCGACCGTGCCTACTGTCAACTTCCCCCCACCCCCCGGCTCGGCATCGGGGTCCGCCAGTGTTGAGCGCTCCGAGGCACCATCCGGCCTGAAAGGCGCTATATAAATGCAAGTTGTTGTTGTTGTTAGTCGATTGGTGGATCACTTTCCAGTGGTAATAATTTCTTTTNAAAAAATGTGGTCACCAAATACACAACTATTTTTGGGACACGGCTGTGAGCAATGGACTGCCTCATTTCACCCACTAAATGTACAATCAATTCACTTTACAGTATATTCTGTGAAGCGCTTTCAGACGTCTCAATGATGTAATAAGGCGCTGTATCAAAGGCAAGGATTATTATTACTACATTAGCAATGAGCTGTGAGTTTAACCGTTTAAAATACTATTTTCTGCTTGCTTTTATATCTGTTTAGCTGTAAGAGATGGAATAGTTTGACTTCTGTCATAATAATAATCCTTGCATTTGATAACATGTCGTTCTAAAAAATTATTCTTTTTGAAGGGATTATTAACCCCAAAAATTGATGATCCTTCAATCAACTAATAACCGGGATCCTACTTAATGCTAGGTAAACAGAGGTATGAGGAGTAAGGAAACTTGCCTAAGGATTCACCCTGCCTGGGAATCGAATATAGGTCTTGTCGCTTGTGAGGCAAGTGCTCGAACTACACTCCAGAAACCATATGTTGTGAGCCCATCCTCGCTCGGCTCCCAAGCCCCCACCATTGAAATCAAGATTCTCGCCCTCACTTTCAGATGGTTCAATGGCCTCAGCCCATTCTACCTCTGCAACCTCCTTTCACCTTATTGCCTGGCAGCTCCTCAGCAACACCAGCCTGCTTCAAATCCATCACCTCATCAACAGTGGACAAGCCTTCAGCAATTGCGTTGCCGCTCTCTGAAACTCATAGAGCCCTCCCACTCACCCTCTAAAACCTGTCTTAAAACGGGTAGCACTTTGATCATCCATTTAGCCACTTTTGCATTCCCCTTTTGAGCTTCCCTCAGCTCGGTCTCCCAGTGAGTTGTGTGAAACAACACCAACTTGCATTTATATAACGGCCTTCATGTGGGGTAGTGTCCTGGAATGCTAAACGATGTCCTCCCAGTGTGAAATGTGCTATACAAATGTAAATTGTTTTTGTACTTGTGGTGCTCTGCAGTAATCTATTTGGTATGGTGGTTTGTGGGTGTGGTAGAACCTACAGAGATTGTTACTGCTTTCAGAGAGGGGGTCAATCAACAATTTGTCTGAGAAATGGCAAAAATGTGCCCAGTTGGGTCACTGAGTTCAAATATTATCTGAAACTAGGATTTGAACATAGTATTGGAGTCAAAATCAGTGCTTTGAGCACTATGAAGCCACACTGTAGTTTTACAATTTAAGGATTTAATATGCAACCCATTAATACAGATTTTGTTTCCCCACAGGAATCTTTTGGACAGAGATACATTTTCTAAGTCAGACCCAAGTAAGTAACTGATGATTTCTGCAATCTGTTTGTTTCTATTAATTGATTTAATTTTCTGACCAACTGAAGCTACAATCTATCTATAAATATAATAGAATTCATATTCTGTCAAACTTTATTGTAAATCCCAACCAAGTTGAAAAAGCGTTATCATTTCCCTTGCCAATAGTTAGTTTTAACATGTTTTTCTTGCTAAATAACTCATTGGATAATAATAACTTGCTAAATACTAAATTATTGATTTCTATATTTTCCTTAGTTTGCTATTTAAATGACTACTTTATGTTTGTCCCTTTATAATTCTTGTGTTGATGCATTTAATTTGCACAAATTTCTCCTTTCATTTTCATTCTGATTATTTTTTTCTATTCTTTTACAGGCCCTTTCCTTTTTAGTGACTTATTCTGTTCTTCTGCTTCTTTATCCTGTTTTTCTTTCTTATTCCAAAAAAATGACAAAGGTTTGGTATTATAAGTTATGTTCTATGTTTTAACCAATTGTGAGTCAATTTCAAAACCTCACATTTTTACAATCCTACATAGGTTGAAGTGCAGTAAGATGGTGTACTGTGTTGCAATGTATGTTAACTTAAAATCTTTCTAATCTTGTAATTGTAAAGAGACCAAACAATTTTGGAACCTACAGAAAATTGTGGTTGCGAGTTATGATGGATACTTTAAAAGGATAATTTTAACTTGGTTTAAACAAAAATTATAACAACAATTGGTTTTTAATATTAACCTGAGGACCCTAACTTTAATTGCTACACGGTCTAATCTATGTAGGCTGCTAAAATATGGCTAACATAGAATAGATTTTAGTGTTACTTTGCTTTATAGGTTGTATTTTATTGTGGGAATAAGGGAGTAACCAGCAAGACTTTACAAAATATTTAATCTCAATCTAAGTCAAACCTATGCTGGTTTTGTCTTCCTTTCTCACCATTCAGTTGTAACATTCAGTTTCTTCATAGTTGTTTCATTGTCTGGCTATAGAGCAATCGGTTTAAACGTTTTAAGGTTCACTGGGTTTGTGACTTTCAGCACCCATGAACAACCACCTGTGCTGATAACACAGTCCTACTGAAATGATTGCGACTGTTACTTTTTGAGTTGTTTTGACAATACAGTGGCACTATGAAGTGAAAGTAATGATGTTCTATTATTATCAAATGGAATAGCTGCATACAAACAGCAATGACAAGTTTGTGAGTTAAACTCTATTCCTACTGTGCAGCCGGTAAATATTATTGGTGCTTATGGCCATTGGTAATGCATTAGAAAAACATTTTAAGGGAAAGGACCATTCAGACAGTATTATGTAGGAATTACAATAAAACATTTTTGAGTTTTTTTGGTGCTAGTAGTAATATGACTTTCAGGTAATTTGGTTTTAGGCAGTGATTGCAATGTAACGTACTTGTGGAGAAGGAATAAAGGCATCCCCAATGTCACAATTTTGTGAATTGTCTGATTTTGGCGCACCAAATGCCATGTGCAGTCACCTAGTTTTAAAGAGAACTAAACATTTCCAGCTGCACTTAAGGTTGCTCCTCTCTAGCCCATGTGGCATGCAATGATTTCCCATAAACAACAAACCGAATAAGCGAGTAACCAGCAAGACACTACAAAATATTTTATTCTCATTCTAAGTCAAAACCATGCTGCCAGGATCGGACAACAGGAAATCTCTTCCTTATGGAGTGGCAATGTCAATGATATCTCGGATGGTAATGTTTTCCAATTATAAAAGTTTAATTAATAAAATACTAAAGACAAAGTCCACAACATAAAGGATTAAAGTAAAAGAAGAATTCAAATAAAATAAACGATATACAAGAATTTTACTTAATTCTTCAAAGTGCTTTCAGACCATGCTTTCTTTAAAAAACAGGCTTTACTTGTCACAGGATCTCTCTCCCCAATATTTGATCATTTGTGTGCATCTTTACCTCAATTCAATCTTAAATATTTTGTTGGGTTTTTCATCCAGAAGTTTATCAAAAAATCATTAACAGTTTTTTCATGAGTTTGTAATCTTTAGTTTGACTCAAGTTCTGGAGGTTGTAGATTCAAGCCCATATTAACATTTGAGTTCATTCATATATCAGGCTGACACGTAATATAGCATCATCACTCGAGGTCACAGATTCAAAATAGTATCTAAAAGAAGCAGAGGGGAGGTGAGAAGAATTTTTTTCACGCAGCGAGTTGTTCGAATCTGGAACGCATTGCCTGAAAGGGTGGTTGAGGCTGATTAAATAACTACTTTTAAAAATGCGGCGGACAGGTATTTGAGGAGGACGGGTTTGCAGGGTTATGGGGAAAAGGCTGGGGTGTGGGATTGCCATTAATTGCTCTATTCAAAGAGCCGGCACAAACTCGATGGGCCGAATGGCCTCTTTTTGTGCTGTACAATTCTATGATTCTATTCTATGATCATAGGTGCTATCTTTCACTATTTTGTGTGTCTTTTCAGGTGAAAAGATTCCATGGAATTATTTAACAATTATTTGCAACTATTTCAGTTTCTCCCAGGGTCCAAGGCAACATTTGGTTGCTGCATTTTCCTAAAAGAAATGTGACTGCACTTGATAGTAATTACTTGTGGAAGGGCTTTGAGATGTTTTGACATAATAAGATACAAAACCGTTATAAATTCTTCTGCTCCTGATTCTTGCAAATGTACTTTTTTTTGCTTGTTGTAATCTAAATATGTTCTCCATCACTGCAATATCCACGTCTCTCATCATCCTAGGTACAATTCAAAACTTTTCTCCATCCGAATAGAAATAAAATGCATTTCTATTGGGGAAAAAAAGACGGCTTTAGGGAAAAAACGGATAGAAAACAGACTGAAAGAAAATAAAAGTCAGTAAGTAAGAAAGAAAAAAAAGAAGAGAAAATGAAGAAAAATTATCTGGAGGATTGTTGGTCACGACATCAAGAGAAACTCCTTTCTCATTTCGAATAATGCTGTGAGATCTTTAATGTCCACCTTATAGAGATCTTTAATGACCCATGAGTGCTACCAACTGAACCAGGCTGACACGAGCCAAATAAAGTCAATGAAGTCTGCATGACATTCCTTGTGTTTGCCTTCTGCCCCAGTCTACTAGCACATGTAAAGTCATCTTGGTCCCAAATGCAACTTGCTTGAGTAATGACTGAGAAAGAACAAGTCTATTCAGTTCCATGACTACACATCAATATTGAAAAATGGATACATTTTGTTCAAATATATCGTGGCTGCTATGATGAAGAAAATGCTTACCCCTCTCCTGTAGGGGAGATAAGTTTTTATTTATGTGCAATAAGGGCAAATGCATATTTCAATTACTTGATTTGAGTTAGGGAGCTGAAAACGCATGCTGGCGATATAAGTCACTGGTGAATCACTTTGGATTTGTGGCTGAGAGGGCTTGGTCGTTCTCATGCTTAACCTCATATAAGGTATTTTATGTATGACTCAATGCGAACAACAACAAGATTACATTTGTATAGTGCCTTTCACGTCGGGAGGACGTCCCAAGGCGCTGGACAGTGTTCAGCATTTCAGATCCGAGTTGGAGTTGGAGAAGGGAGGGGAGGGGAAGGGTGGTGGCTGATGGCATGGTCAAAGAGGAGGGTCTTGAGGCTGGACTTGAAGGAGGCTAAGGAGGGGACGAGGCAGAGTGATTGTGGGATGGAATTCCAGAGGTTGGGGGCAGAGTGGCTGAAGGCTCTCCCGCCAGTGGTGGGGCAGGTTGGTAGGGGGATGTGGAGCAGGCCAAAGCCAGCTGAGCGGAGGAAGCGGGCGGTTTGGTAAGGGGTTAGGAGATCGCAGAGGTAGGGTGGGGCGAGGCCATGGAGGGCTTTGTAGGTGAGGACCAGGATCTTGAACTGGATCCTCTGAAGGATAGGGAGCCAATGGAGTCGGGTGAGAATGGGGGAGATGGGGTCACAGAGTTTGGTGCGGGAGAGGACACGGGCTGCAGAGTTCTGGGAGGAGTTGGGAAGGCTGACAAGCAGGGCATTTGCATAGTCGAGACTGGAGGTGATGAAGGCATGAACAAGAGTTTCAGCAGCCTGAGGGGTGAGCTGGTGGTGGAGTCGGGCGAAGTTACGGAGGTAAGGGAAGACATGGTCTGGATGTGGAAAAGACAGTTGAGGGTCGAACAAGACACCTCGGTTCCTGACTGGCTTGGTGAGTTGAAGTGTGCAACCATGGAGGTTGATGCTGCCAGAGCCTGAGGTGCTGAGGCGCTGGCGCGAGCCAATCAGGAGGGCCTCAGTCTTGTTCACATTCAAATGTAGGAAATTTGTCCTCATCCAGGACTTGATGTCCGACAGGCAGTCTGCCAGGACAGCAGTGGCCCTGGAGTTGAGGGTGGAGGTAACAAAGTGGAGACGGCGAGAGAGATAGGAATCGAACCAGGCAAGGACAGGTTCTTGAAGATTAAGTAAAGAGGAGGGGCGGTGTATGAGGATGGAGTGGTCGACAGTGTCGAAGGTGGCAGAGAGGTCGAGGAGGACAAGGAGGCAGAGGGAGCCCTGATCACAGATGTTCAGAATGTCATTAGTGACTTTGACCAGGGCTGTTTCCATGCTGTGGGCAGTCCGGAAGCCGGATTGGAGGGGTTCGAAGAGGGAATGGCGAGAAAGAAAGGAGCGGAGCTGGGATGCGACGACTTGTTCCAGGACCTTGGAGAGGAATGGGAAGTTAGAGATAGGGCAGTAGCTGGAGAGTAGGGATGGGTCCAGGGAAAGTTTTTTCAGGATGGGGGTAATGACGGCTGTTTTTAGGGGGGTGAGAATTGAACCGGTGGACAAGGAGAGGTTGATAAAGTCAGACAGGAGAAGAGCCAGAAGGTGGAGCTGGGAGATGAGGCAAGCGGTGGGAATGGGATCGAGAGAGCAGGTGGTGGATTTGAGTATGCGAACAGTCGTGGTGAAGGAGGAGGGAGAGATAGGGTCAAAGGAGTATAGGGGGGGGGTGGGTCATGAGGGAGAGGTGATGTG